AAGGTGAATGTTTTGCCCCGGTATATGGTATATTGCCAATCAGCCAATCAAGCACAACAGCCCAGTCACCCTCTAAGCATTGCCCAAAACTGGACCATTAAACTACGGTGTCCATGATACTTTCTTTGTCTGGAAAAAAATTCATACACTTCTGTAGCTGATAAACACCTACTCTTTCTCAATCCCAGCTCAAACCTTGTTTCTGCCCCTTTGATGATCCTCCACAGGAAGATGCAACTGGTCTCACAAAATCTCCCGGCAAATTAATTTTGTGTCCTACTGATTAACCGTATCAAGGTTCTGTCTTCTTAAATACACACCGTGAAATATTTAAGGACAGGAGTCGTGATTTACCCAATAGACCACCTCAGAGAGGGGTGGGCACACAGGCTGTGTTTCATTTTTCTCAAAATCATGCGGTACAAAGCCAGAAGCACGGACACTTCCTTTCTCTAGGAGCCGGCTCTCTTCCTTCATCTGCCAGGTTCACGGCTCTCTCATCTCCAGGACTGCCAACACTATGACCCAGACACCTAGCATCCAGAGCTCAGCTGGGGCTTCCTTTCCATGCTACCGCAACAGAACCCTTCTTCCTGCCTAGTTCCGCAGAGGTGGCTGGGACATTTCCCACAGAGCTCTCACTAGAGAGAAGATCAAGGCAGAAAAACTCATGAAGAGGAAGAGACACAGTAGACGGTCTGCAGTGCGTCAGCTGGCAGCCCTACAGGTCCAGTCTGACAGCCCCATGGTGCCTCTTTCTCCTCTCATTCCTTCCTTCGCCACAGCCATCACGGACACCAGACAGTAAATAGGAGTTCCTCCGCGTGCTGAGCCCAGGCGGATTTGGGTTGGTCCCACACTGTTCCGTCCTGATTAGGTCACCAGACCCTGTGCCAGATCCAAAAATCCCTTCTACAAACTGCTGATTTTGTTTTCTTCATTTACCCATCTCCTCCCCCGCATCACCTCAGACTCTAAACCATAAAAAACCCTCATTCAAAAGTCACGTAGTCTCCTAGCTAGTGCCAAAGATCACAAACCCAGCTTTGAGGCCCATCTACACAGAACCCCACCCCCACCCCGTGGTCAGTCAGAGCTCCAACCCTCCCTGGGGATTTCCCTGGACCAGCTGGAGCCACCTCTCTAGTCCCTAGACATTAACATAAGGAAGGCGTACATTTTCTTGATTTCCATCGCTGGGAATCCTTTTCTACCTTACAATATTCTGTACTGGTTCTTCTTGGCTGCAAGCAAATGTAAAGAGGGAGAGAGAGGGGGTGGGGGTGTGTGCATAAAATATATATAAATTCCAAACATCCTGGCAAACTTAACCTTCTTTTCTCCTTGGAAAATATCTATATTCAATTTTTCTTTTGGGATCTTTGTGTTTCCTGCACACACACACACACACACACACACACACACACACACACGTGTGTCTTAACTATTTATCTTTTATGTATATGTCTGTGTACCTGTGTGAGTTTAAGTGCCCTCAATGTGCAGAGACGGTCAGATGCACTGGAACTAGTTACAGGAAGTTCTGAGCTGCCTGGAATCGGTGCTGAGACTGAATAGGAAGCACCCTCAGCCTCTTAACCAAGGAGCCACCTCTTCAGCACATTTTCCCTGTGTTTGCATCCTTTAATTTCAAGAATTTTACTGAGTCGATCTAAGCATGTCAGGTGCTTGGCAGTGCACACCAGTCAATATGTTAAGTAATTTTTCCTGGTTTTCATTATGAAAACATTCAAATATACAAAGTAGAGAAAAATAGTGAAATAAGGCTAATATTCCATTTCCTAATTTCAAATTTTTTCACAACGCCACTCATCTCCGCCCACCACCAGAGATGAGATTCCAGAGCAAATCTCTACCGTCGCACTGCCATCTATCAATGCTTCAATGCACATCTCAAAGAGGCTGCCCCTTTGTTTTGTTTTTGCTTTTTGAGACAGAGTCTCTATTATATAGAACTGGGTGTCCTAGAATATAGTGTGATTTCATTTGTACTTTAATAAATAAAGCTCGCCTGAAGATCAGAGAGTAAAACAGCCCCACTGATCAGCCTTACAGACCAGGCAGTGGTGACACACACCTCTAATCCCAGTAGCCACATTAGTTTGCCATAGAAACCGAATGGTAGCAATGCACACCTTTAACCCCAGCACTAGAGAGGAATATAAAATGGGAGGAGACAGTTCTCAGGTGCAGTCTCATTCTGAAGATTCCTGGAGGCAGGATCACCATTTTGGACTGAGATAAAGACAAGAGCCAGTGCCTGGCTGTTTTGTTTTTCTGACCTTCAGGTTAAACCCCAATATCTGTCTCTGGGTTTGTTTGTTTGTTTAATTTATTTATTTTATTATGTATACAACATTCTGCCTCTGTGTATGCCTACAGGCCAGAAGAGGCCGCCAGATCTCATTACAGATGGTAGTGAGCCACCATGTGGTTGCTGGGAATTGAACTCAGGTCCTCTGGAAGAGCAGTCAATGTTCTTAACCACTGAGCCATCTCTCCAGCCCCTGTCTCTGGTTTTTATTATTCTTGCTACACCAGAACTTGCTTTGTCGGCCAGGCTGGCCTACACAGAGACCCACCTCCCTCTGCCTCTGCCTCTGCCTCTGCCTCTGCCTCTGCCTCTGCCTCTGCCTCTGCCTCTGCCTCTGCCTCTGCCTCTGCCTCTGCCTCTGCCTCTGCCTCTGCCTCTGCCTCTGCCTCTGCCTCTGCCTCTGCCTCTGCCTCTGCCTCTGCCTCTGCCTCTGCCTCTGCCTCTGCCTCTGCCTCTGCCTCTGCCTCTGCCTCTGCCTCTGCCTCTGCCTCTGCCTCTGCCTCTGCCTCTGCCTCTGCCTCTGCCTCTGCCTCTGCCTCTGCCTCTGCCTCTGCCTCTGCCTCTGCCTCTGCCTCTGCCTCTGCCTCTGCCTCTGCCTCTGCCTCTGCCTCTGCCTCTGCCTCTGCCTCTGCCTCTGCCTCTGCCTCTGCCTCTGCCTCTGCCTCTGCCTCTGCCTCTGCCTCTGCCTCTGCCTCTGCCTCTGCCTCTGCCTCTGCCTCTGCCTCTGCCTCTGCCTCTGCCTCTGCCTCTGCCTCTGCCTCTGCCTCTGCCTCTGCCTCTGCCTCTGCCTCTGCCTCTGCCTCTGCCTCTGCCTCTGCCTCTGCCTCTGCCTCTGCCTCTGCCTCTGCCTCTGCCTCTGCCTCTGCCTCTGCCTCTGCCTCTGCCTCTGCCTCTGCCTCTGCCTCTGCCTCTGCCTCTGCCTCTGCCTCTGCCTCTGCCTCTGCCTCTGCCTCTGCCTCTGCCTCTGCCTCTGCCTCTGCCTCTGCCTCTGCCTCTGCCTCTGCCTCTGCCTCTGCCTCTGCCTCTGCCTCTGCCTCTGCCTCTGCCTCTGCCTCTGCCTCTGCCTCTGCCTCTGCCTCTGCCTCTGCCTCTGCCTCTGCCTCTGCCTCTGCCTCTGCCTCTGCCTCTGCCTCTGCCTCTGCCTCTGCCTCTGCCTCTGCCTCTGCCTCTGCCTCTGCCTCTGCCTCTGCCTCTGCCTCTGCCTCTGCCTCTGCCTCTGCCTCTGCCTCTGCCTCTGCCTCTGCCTCTGCCTCTGCCTCTGCCTCTGCCTCTGCCTCTGCCTCTGCCTCTGCCTCTGCCTCTGCCTCTGCCTCTGCCTCTGCCTCTGCCTCTGCCTCTGCCTCTGCCTCTGCCTCTGCCTCTGCCTCTGCCTCTGCCTCTGCCTCTGCCTCTGCCTCTGCCTCTGCCTCTGCCTCTGCCTCTGCCTCTGCCTCTGCCTCTGCCTCTGCCTCTGCCTCTGCCTCTGCCTCTGCCTCTGCCTCTGCCTCTGCCTCTGCCTCTGCCTCCTGAGTGCTGGTATTAAAGGAAAGCTCCATCATCATCTGGCTAAATTACTATTCTTAACCTCAAAATCCTGTCAGAGCTCAAGTTCCTAATTGTTTCTCCCTTTCTCAGTACTGAGGGTGATAGCCAGGGCCTCATTCGTCGTAGGCAAGTGTTCTTAAACTAAGCCACAATTCAAGTCCTCCGTTAAAAAAAAACAAAAAAACATATTTTTCATGAAAAAAGTGAGGCCTGTGTAATCAACACTTTTCTATATCATAGTCAGTATCCATCAGTTTCCCGATTTGACACTTTGATACCTCTTTCCATCCACATATGGCCTTGGCTAGCACTTTCCCCAAGAACAATCTTAATGTTGCAAACCAAACACCAACATCCCAGCCATTCTCTAGCCATTGCTTAAGGTGGAGCACTAGAGTTATGCTGCCCCCTCCACACACCTGGCACACGTTGGTTTGCAAGCACTGTCTTTTCAATGTTTAGAGAGGCCCAGATTTTTTTTGTTTTTATTGTCTTTACAAAACAAGCTTTTTCTTTTTTGGCTATGTTGAGCAATAACAACAACGACAAAAAAAAAAAAAGATTTGAGACCCAAGGAAGACTTTTGGTGTACTAACCACTCATCGTCCAGAACCACAGAGTTGGGGGAACACAGGAACTAAATTCTTCACGTATCTGGGGCACCCCAGTGTTTATAACCATCCCAGCAGTGGGGATACAATGACCACAGCAATGATCAAAGCAAAACCAGCAGCTTCTTCTAGCCTGGGGAGGGAGGTCAAGCCTCTCTGGCAGAACAGAGAATCGTTAGGATGCTGACACAGAACCCGAAACTTCCAAGGAGAAAAGGCAGTACTGCCATGGACATTCAGAGACCCAGAACTCAACAGTAACGAGTCACATGACTCAATCCTGCTAACTGTATGACATGAAAGAAATTAAAATATAAGCCATACCCCCATCACTAGAATCCATCTATACGGTTTTCATATATTTTTTTAAAACAGAATTATAAAGGATCCCTTTCATGAACCCTACATTAATATACTTTGGGGACTATTTTTAAATTCTCAACAATGAAATAAAAAGCTGTTTGAAATAATCTTGTAAAGTTATAGAACACAAACTAAACAAGAAACAAAATAGATTCCTTTATACTGACCTTCAAAAATATTGGTCTAAGCTCAGCTGGATCTGCTCTCTTGGTTAAAGCCACCTATAAATAAACATAAAAATGTTTATGTTATTAGAACAAAGCTGAAAAATCAAGCTAGCAGGAGGGAAAATAAACATTGGGTTAGAAATTAGTAGATTTCATTTTTGTTCTGCAAGTACCAAATTGCTCCAGTGTGTAAACTCCCCGGATTTTAATATGGACGCTACGCGGCTTCTAAAATGATAACATTCTGTGTGAGAAGCCAGAAAAGCCCTTAATGTCTAATGTTCAATGTATAAAAGGGAAGAAAGTTGAAACAGATTAGTGAACACCTGGCATTTCTAAGCCACACCCAAGGGTAATGCATGCCTTCTCACACGGGAATATTTAAATATTAACTACAACCTGTCTGCCAATCCTGCCCAGGAGCCCAGTTCTTAAAAGTTGGTGAACTTGTAAATCATATTAAGGACCCAAAGGGAACTGCTTCCCACAGCTTGTCCGTGAACGGCACGTACACCCACCGGCCTAGACAGGCCAAGGAACTTCTCCACCTCTCCCCAGTCTTAATAAATCATAAGTCTCCAAAGGTGTGACTATTATTCTTCACATTCTAGAAACTCAAGGGACCGTGGTCACCTTCCACCAGTAAAATTTGACAGATTAGCTCAGAATAGGTGTTGTGCTTAATTCTCCAGGCCACAAAGTCCAAAAACATCACTGGGAAAAAAGCAAGACAAACTTGAGCATAACTGCTCCAGGCCGACACAAAAGAACCCTTATGCAGAAGCAAACAGTGGGCTTATTCAGTGTCCCATCGCCCAGTCCTGTCGGCAAAAGTGGGCCTAAGACGCGGTGCTAGGCAAGCAGAGTGTCACCTCGTGATACAAGCAAGGCAGGGCCCCTGGAACCACCAACACTGGAGCCACGTCCCTATCCACGAGATTTATGCAAATTGTTCTAAATCCCTTCTCTGTGCTTACAAAGGCTCTTCTGAGATCTTTAGACAATAGCTTTTCTGTCTTTCGGAAGTACTAGGGCTCCTTGGCCAATGTCAGGAATAAATTTATTAACAAGTCACTGGAATGGGAGATGGTCTCCAGGAAAGCAGCTGGATGGTCACCGCACTAACACTGATACTCTTTCCACTTTGGCCGAAAACCTGCCGCTATCAATGTCCTAAACCCCGAATTAGGTGGTGTCCTTTGCTGTTCGGTAACGGAGGGAAAACAAGACCACTAGCCAACCCAGCCGTGATTGATGGTGCTGGTGACCACTAGCCAACCCAGCCATGATTGATGGTGCTGGTGACCACTAGCCAACCCAGCCGTGATAAATGGTGCTACTCACCTCCAGGTTTTAGAAGAGGAGGCCCTGTTGGTGGGAAGGTGAAACAGGGATGAACACTCTTAGAAAAGGTATCACCAAGCCCCTTCTACCTCCACTTCTAGAGGGGTGTCGTTCCTCCCATCACGGTAAAAACCCTACATCCTTGACAGGCTACTAACTAGGCACAGGAAAGGGGGACTGTGCACATGCCGGCCTAAGTTTCTAGTGGTTTTGTTTTGTTTTCTTATTTGTTATGGTTTTTTTTTTTCCTTTAAAAGGCAATGAAACTTTTTCTACACAATGAACTCAGCTTGCTGTCTGGGTGCATGGTTGCACATCTGCTGAGCTCACTACACTACACACTTTATATGGACGACACCAGGCAGTGCTGTCCAGCACGTACCTCCCTGGCCTAAATCCCCATGGCACCATAACTTCCTGATCCCCAAAACATAAATCATGCAATGCTCCTAGTCAGAACTGGACCTCTTTGAGAGAAAAAGCAAACTCTTCAATTTGTAACCCATCCAGGGCCCAGTCACTAGAGAACACAAAGGCAAACAACCCCTCTGGGGGCCAATGCTGCAAAGTCACACCCCCCCGAATGTAAGAATGTACCCCCTAATTTACAAAGCATGGCTGGGTCCTCACAGAAAGTCTGAAAGGACACATTATTTTTCCCATTTTACAAACGGGGAAATCAGGGTTCAGAAAGAGTCATGTACTTTCTTTCCCTAAGTCGGAGGAAAAGCCACTTTTCCCCTTGCGTTTGTGTTTTCTCAGTCTCCAGTCTCCTGTCCCCCACAACATAAGCAGCTTCATCATGACCCAGCATGGAGGCAACACAGGGCACAAGAGTAAAGAACAACACTCTAAATGCAGTTTGCCTCGCAAGGCTGGGTCCAGGCATGGTGGTTCATGCCCGAAAACCCACAACTTCAGAGACTAAGGCAGAAGGATCTAGACTTTGAGAAGAGGCCAGATTACACAGAATGACCCTCTATCAGATGAACCAACCTGTTGTTGTGGGGTATTTGTACGATGTGCAGGAGAAGAGGAAACAGCCATGAGACATGTCTGTGGCAGGATGTAGAGTAACAGAAATGAGTTGATTTAACTTATGAGAACTAGCTAGGAACAAGCCTAAGATATAGGTCAAAGTTTTATAATTGACAAATCTGTGTGCCAGCCAGGCGGTGGTGGTGCACGCCTTTAATCTCAGCAAGGTGGCAGAGGCGGGTGGATCTCAGTGAGTTCAAGGCCAGCCTGGTCTACAAAGCACAGGCAGGGCGGTCACAGAGAGAAACCCTGTCTTGGGGGAGGGGAGGAGTCTCTGTGTCATTATTTGGGAGCTGGCTGGCAGGGTAGAGAAAGACTTGCTATAACCGGTGAAAACCAAGAGGCCGTTGGTGTCAGACTGGCCTTACACAGGGTACAAGCTTGACCTCTTGACTCAATGGCTGGCCTGGATTCTCTGACTGCCTCTCATTTCCTCGTCGATGCAAGAGGTGGAAAAGAGGAAATTGTTAAGTACCAACAAAGCCCGGAATTTAAAGCACTCAATAAACGCCATTCATCGTCATTTTTGTATTTCTCATCCAAAAGCATTTGTCTTCTACCATGACCGCACGTCTAAGCGATGAGTAGCCTACTTCACAATTCAGAAGACAGAAGTAGGAGAGAAAAGGGCAAGTCAGGGCTCTAGAAGATGCTCACCAAAGCCCCAACTGAACACCAAGGCCATAGTAACACATCAATAAATCCCCACACACACACTTCTCAAAGCTTCCCTAAGGCTTCTCTTGAAAACAGACCCAAAGGCACAGGTGTGTGTACGTGGTAAACAATCATGCAGGAATTTGCTGGAGGCTGAGGCCCATTGACAACCATCATTCTTAAGCACAAAGAACCATGGAACTGGGAGATCATTTCTTAAAACTTAGCACCAGTCTCCTGGATCTCACATGTAATCACCCCATCTACTGCCCACTCAGCAAACACTAGCTGGCTATTTGCAATTTCCATTTTGGCTTCTACTCACACCCTTCCCTCTCCCCCACATCCACCCCACCCCCCATCATCCCCTGCAAAGGAGAAGCAATCACACTGATGACCATATAAAGTTGCAGTGAGGGCTGGAGAGAAGATGGCTCAGGGGTTATGAGCACTGACTGCTCTTCCAGAGGACCCAGGTTCAAAGCCCAGCCCCGACATGGCAGCTCATAAGTGTGTGTAAATCATAAGTGTGTGTGGGCGATCTGACACCTTCACACCACTGCACATAAACTAGAGTTGCAGTGAGACCTACGATGTGCTGAAGGAGCTCTGAGAAGATACGTGCTGGACAAAGTTATCCAGAGAAATGGCCTTTCCTTCAAGTCAACCAAGGACACCTGATCAGTGCACACTTCATGGTTGAAGAGCCTGCAGTTCAGACCTAGCGTATTCTTGGGCTTCAGAAGATTTGTCAAACTTGAGACAGTTCCAGATGGCACACCTAAGTACACACACACACACACACACACACACACACACACACACACGTTTGGGTGTGTGCCTCTTACATAATAACATGTAAATATATACAAGTAAAGCACTATTCACTTAATTACTTGATGTTATCATTACTTATCATTATCTTATTCTTTATCGTCTGCGCTGAAAGACTAAAGTGCAATGGAGTCTAACATTACAACAAAAATTGTACTGCTTTACATAAATGAAGTAATCCAAATCTAAGAAGAGAGTTCTTTGCAAGTGACTATGAAATATCATTTGATATTTAAATCAGCACAGTAGAGTACTTTGTACTCAGTCAGATAACATGTAGCAACAGTTCCAAACAAGACAAAAAGAAGCAATGGGGGGGGGGGGGAGGCTGCATGGCTGTTACTCCCATACACCGGGAAAGGTCTAATAGGATTTAACTTAGAATGGAAATTTCAAAAGTCCATGCTATGAGTTGGTAACATTTGAGCATCATGAACTACGCAATATGCTTTAACGAGATAAACATTAGTCACATCTATGTGACTAGCTCACCAATAGCATTTGTAAAAGATACACAAACTAGGTTACATTTTTTTTAAAAAAGTAACATAATGACACAACTTCAGTAACTAGCTTTTTCATAAAGGGAACAAAAATATAACAGGAAGAACCAGAAAGGTGTCTTTCAGAGCAGATAAACCCTGTCATTCCAACAGGCAGTAGCACTGCCAATAGCAGGGGGAGGTTTCTACACATAGGAGTGTTTATTAAATCGGCCTGCTTACCCTGGAGTCAAGCCACAGTGCCAGGCTCATTCCTTTCACAAACTGCAGTGGCACATACTTGTGCTCTCAAAATAGTCGGTAGGTGTGATAGAGTAGGGACAAATCCAGCACAGCTGGGTTTGGTAATCCCCGTCCCTGAGAGACAGAGTCAGGAGATGAGAAGTCAAGACCATTCCCAATACTTGGCAAGTTTGTTTGAGACCACCTCGAGATGGAAGAGACCCTGTCTCAAGAGGGAAAGAAAGAAAGAAAGAAAGAAAGAAAGAAAGAAAGAAAGAAAGAAAGAAAGAAAGAAAGAAAGAAAGAAAGAAAGAAAGACACTCCTCTCAGGAGGCTCTGAAGGTGTGAGGCTTCCTCAGATCATGCCAGCCTCTCTCTGCAAAGGGGCCCTCAACTGATAACTTGGGGTCCCTGTGAGTGAGCCATAGAGAGAGAAACTGGTGGATCCTTCAGAAG